AGCCAAACTGCGGAAACAAACGGCTCCGCTGCACTCGAAGCGGCAACACCGCGGAGGCGACCACAAAGTGTTCTTGGCACGTGGCTCCACCGCGGACAGAGACGACGACGACGACGCCGATAACGACGACGACGCCGACGACGACGCTGATGACGACGACGACGACGCCAATGACGACGACGACGACAACGACGGACGACGATGACGATAACGATGACGACGACGACGACGACGACGATGACGGTGACGATGACGACGTCGACGACGACGACGACGACGACGAGGACCACGACGATGAGGAAGGCACTGACGACGACAATGACGACGCCGACGCCGATGACGACGATGACGACGACGACGCCGATGACGACGTCGACGACGACGACGACGACGACAACGCCGAGCACGACGACGAAGACGACGACGAAGACGAAGACGACGACGACGACGACGCCAACAACCACGGACGATGATGACGACAACGACAACGACGACGATGATGACGACGACGACGAAGATGACGCCGACAACCACGGACGATGATGACATCGACGACAACGACGACGGCGACGACGACGACGACAATGACGCCCGCCCTCCCGCGCGCCCGCCGGCCCGCCCGCGCGCGCGCGCGCGACTGCTCGCGCGCCCGCCCGCGCGACGAAGCGCGAGTCCGCCCGCCCGCCCACACGCTCGCCCGCCGGCTGCGTCGCCCACCCGCCCGCCCGCTCGCGCGCCCACCTCCCTCCCGTCCTCGTCCGTCCTCCACCTCTCCTCCTCGCTCCTCCCCGTCCTGCTCGTCCTTCCGATCCTCCCACCTCCTCCTCCTCCCTCGTGTCCTCCCGGTTCCTCCTCCATCTCCTCGCTTGTCCTCCCACGCCTCCAACCCTCCCCATCCCGCCTCCCCCTTCCTCCTCCTGCCTCCCTTTCCTTCTCCTCCCTCCTACATCCATCCCTCCTCCCTCCTCCCTCAGCCACCTCCACCTGCTCCCTCCTCCCTCCTCCACCTCCTGCCTCCTCCCTCCTCCCCCCCCCCTTCCTCCTCGCTTCCCCGTTGCCCCCCTCCCCCCGCACTCTCCATCTACACCAACCTCCACCCCCACGCCAATCCCAAAACCCCAACTTTCTTGCAATTCCGGGTGTTGCTCTTGCACTTTCCGGGTTTGGCCTTGGAATTCCTGGGTTTGATGTTGAAATGTCTGGGATTGGCGAGTTTCTTGGTTTACCCTGAGCTGTTCGGGGTTCGCCCCAGAAATATTCCTGGTTTGTAGGGGGAGGGGGTAGAGGAGGTGGAGGGTGAGCAGACGAATTAGCAGGGGAAGGTGAGGAGGTTGCGGTAAGTGGAGGACGAAGAGAAACAGCAGCAGTAGGAGCTGGAGTGGGAGAAGTGAGCGGAGCAAGATGGCCAGGGGAAGGCGGGGGAAGGGAAAGGAGCGGGGCGACAACGGGGAGGAAGCCCTCGGACACCCAAAAAAACGCGGCCCGCGCTGGGGCGAGAGCGCCAGTCTCAACGAGGGGAGCAAAGCGCCGATCCTGAAATCTCCTCCTCCTCCTCCTCCTCCGCCCTCCTCCTCCTCCTCCGCCCTCCTCCTCCTCCCCCCTGCTCCTCCTCCTCCTCCCCCTCCAGCAATAGCCCGATCTTGAGGCACCGAAAACGCTTGGATGGATAAAGCATGTGTGAAAACATATTCACCTCGCAAATCCGGTAAAAAACAAACAATACGCCAAAGGGGGGCGTTCCACTCCCCGGCCATCTTCAGATAAAGAGAGGAGGATACCCGTCGGTCGGAAGAAGGGGGTAGAAGCATGAAACAGGAAGGCGTTGGAAGTAGATTACGGTTCCGACCCCCCTGGAAAGAAGGGAAGAGGGGAAACCACTCGATTCCTGAAGTAGGAAGGCGCCAAATGTAGATTGGGATCTGGGAGCCCGGAAAATACCAACTCTCAACAAACCGGCGTGTAATTCTAGCAGGTCTTGTAGAAGAAGAACAAATGGCAAAAACTTAAACTGTTTGGCGCTCCGCGCGGATTTCTTGGATCCGCGTTGGACCCCCTCCCTGGCGGGCGGAGAGCGCCAGGGGCTGCGCTGGAGGCACCGCTGGGGGGAGCCCAGCGCGGACCCAAGAAATCCCAGCGGAACGCCAAAAGTGTATGGTTATGCCGCTTTCTCTTCTTCGATGTTGGGGGAATGGCCAGCACGCACAGCTCCTTCGACTCATGTCCATCGACGGGTCGACGCGGGCGAGCCGATGACCAGGGAGCCAGGGCGAGAGGGGGGCTGGCGCACCATATGCCCGAGACACTGCGCGGACGAGGAGGGGCCAGCGGGCGTGTCGAATCAAGAGCAGACGGCGAAGAAGAAGAAGAAGAAGAAGGAGAAAAAGGGGCCACGACACCTTGGAGATACAGCCGACCCGATTCATGAGGGTGCACGATTGATGAAGCAGGGGCCTTGAAAAGGCCACGTCGAAGCGTCTCGAGCGGAGCGCGGCCAACGAGAGGGGCTAAGCGTGGACCGAGGAGGCAGGGATGCTAGGGGTATCCTGGGGAAGGCTGCCCATCCAACTCCTGTGCGGGCCGACTGTATCGTGGCCCGGTCCATGATATCTGCACACCCTGAGGATTCTCTTAGGGTGGAGGGCTCAGGGTGAAATCCAGATGGGCCTTTGCACCCCGAAAATCAGTCCGCCTTTTGATTCACCCTTTGCAGATTCAGGCCTCGAAACTCAATCGAAACGGCATTTCAGATTTCACCCTTTGCCCTCCACCCCAAAAAGATGCTCGGACACCCCTGGCCCTCCCCCCCGCGCAGGCGCCCCCGAGGTCCGGGGGGGGCCGACGGCACTGGCATCCTCGCTCGCTCCCAGCGCGCGCCGTGCCCGGGCACGCCGCGGGGGGGGCACGGAGACGGAGAGGGGGAGCGAAAGACGGCTTGCAGCGGGCTGCAGGAGGTGCAGGCGAGCGGAATCGCCCGCAAGTGGCTCACCAACCGACTGGGCAGGAGGAGGAGGAGGAGGCAGAAAATGGTGGGGAGGAGGAAGACGCAGAGAACTGGAGGCCTGGAAATGGGCACCAACACCAACAGGGGGGTTGCCTCCACAGGGGGAAGATGATCCTAGATTTCGGTGTTGGTGGAAATATTTCGGCCACCTTGGACGCCATCATGTTACCACCATCACCGAGACCAGGATCTTCTTCCCTCGGTGGAGGGTGCAAAGAGAACGTGTTTCAGAGCAACACCCGAACTCAGCACGGCAGCAGAACACCACGGCTGCATCGCCGCACGTTCGGCGCAGGGGCGTCGCAGAGGCTCGCGGCGCATCACTCGCTGCCCTTCGAAGTCATCTCCTCAGCCTCCAAGGGCTCACGTGGAGCCTCCTCGTCGCTCTTGGCCACCTTGCTGGACGAGACCACTGCCCGAGATGCGTCCGACGTGGCCATGAAAGGCACTGCCTGGTACAAGAACATGGCAGCACAGATGACGATGGTGGCGATGACAAAGACTGCACTCAGGGACGTGCCGAATGCCAGCGCCGACCACACGCCACTCAGGACGAGCGAGGCCACGACGGACATGCCTTTCATCACATTGTCAGCATACCGCAGCGCAGCAACCACTATGAGGCCCCCTAATGACATCACGGCGACGACGACCCACGTCAGCGGCACGAACCCCCTCATGAGGCTGTCCATGATGCTGTCGGTCTGCTGGCTGCCGAAGACATTCGTGTCTAGACTAGTCGTGCTGATGCGCGACCACGTGCACATGAACATGAGCACCACGATGCTGAAGCCGGCCACCTCCGCGCTCTGCAACCACATGGGGAGCTTCTCCGTCTTTAGCATCTTCTCCGTGTAGCAGCCCGCAAGGCCAGACATTACGGACATGGTTAGAGGAACAAAAACAACGGCACGAGCATGAATGTCCCGAGCTCCACACGGATTTCTCGAGTCGGCGCTGGACCCCATTCCCTGGCACGCGGAGCGCCACCGAGGGCGGCGCTGGAGGCGCCGCCAGGGGGATCCAGCGCCGAGGGAAGAGGTCCGCGTGGATCGCCGAACATGTACGTTTACGCCGCCTTCTCTTCTTCGAATGGTGGTCACCGCCACGAGCCCCCAGAACGGGTCGGCGTCGTCGTTGCCGATGCCCGAGGCCTTGCACATCGACGCCTCCACCTGCACGAGCGCGGCGCCGCTCGCCAGGAGAAGCAGCGCCACCCACTGCACCACGGACAGCCGCCTCTGCAGCAGCAGGCGACTGAAGACCCCGGCGAAGAGGATCTTCAGCTGGCGGGAGCCGGGAAAAAACGGCATGCACACATTCCTCGGTGGAGGTGCACGCGGAGTCCTCGCATCGGCGCTGGGCCAAAACCTCCCCTGCGGGCGAAGCGCGCCGGAGACGACGCCGGAGGCGCACCAAGGGGGTCCAAGGCAGATTCGGGGAATCCGTGCGAACCTCCGAACACGCATGTTTATCGGCGGTGGACAAAACTCCCTTTAGTAAACCTCCCTTTAGTAAACCTCCCTTTAGTGAAAACGGCCTGGGATCGAAACCGACGGACCTGGACCCGCAAAAATGACGGCCGCGACGCCCTCTCGGGAACCGAAAACGGCCAATTCGCTAATCGACGTGTCAGGGTAGGAGGTCTATCAACCTCCGAGTTCATGCGGGCCAGAGCCTGTGTCAGAGCCTGGAACACGGGTGGGTCCAGGTTCTGCACGGCCACGAAGAGGAGCTGGTTCTGAAAGGCGAACATCAGCGCCGGCGGCGCTAGCATGAGGCTCCGCCTGAACGCGGAGGGCGAGAAGAACTGGATCCAGGTGGCATCGGCCTCGAACATGAAGAACAGGACCATTGACACAACAAGCTTCCCCAGCTCCACCACCACCATCAAGACCAGCGTGTCAGGATGGCTTCCATGATGCTGCGCATACTTGATGATCAGGGTCAGTCCAGCATTCTGAGCTGCCAGAAGTGACAGGATGCCAACCCGAAACAT